GTAAATATAAAATATTGTAAATAATTATAAATGTAAATACCTTAGTAAATTTGACACTGGGATCAAACCTCAAAATAAATAAAAACACAAGAAAAAACAAAAGCAAAAAAAGAAGCGCGGATGAGGCAAAATCGAAAAAGGGCGCGAGTGAAACACAAACAACAACACACATTTACAGTTAGATGTGAAATAGGCGCGAAAAAGCCGAAAGAAATTTTTGATCTATTGCACTGAGCGTTGCTTGTGAAACAAAACAAAAAGACTCGACAACAGTTAAATTAGCTAACTTTGTAGGTATACGGCGGAAGAGAATGAAACAGTGAAACAACAGCAATAGCTCGTAAAGAAGAGTGTAACGACCAAAAACGAAAACGATTCAGGAAAATAATAAGCAATTGCTCATCTTAAGGTCACAATTAACCGAAAATTATGAAGTGAAGCACAAACAGGATAGTAAGACTATGATTGGTTAAATAAAAGACACTGGCACTTTAATAAATCACAAGAAAATAAAAAAAAGAACAGAGCACAAAATAAACACAACAGATCTCGAGCGGCGATATATCGATACTTGCGAAAATCGATATTTTAAGAAAACTTAGATAACTATTGAAAGTTTATGGTATATTAGGAAGGAGATACTGATTTATCTCCTTGCTAAAATACCAAAAACTTTCAAAACCAACCTCGTAAAAGCGCAAATTGGCAATTTTATTGGGACCAACAGGTTTCCATCATCGTCTTTAAAATATTCGGCTTTGGTTTTCGGATGCCGGAGAACCCAAAACATCTTCAGTCAGATTTAATTTAATTCACCCTTATTATATGTAGAACCCAGGCAAAGGCAAAGTAGAATGTAAAACGGATGAAGAGGGCGATACATATGACTACCACAAAAGGATAATGGAGATCATTAAGTGTATTATCGGTAGGGATGTTGTATGCCAAATAAATTGAGTCTCAATTAAGCCCCGATTAGCCTTTAATGATTATAATTTGGGCGGAATTTTCATCCTCTGAATCACTGAATAAGACCTATGGCTGCTACGTGGGAAAACTGACTGGCTAACAATTGTTTCTTACTATTAATTGCTGGGATGGCTAAGCCAGTCAGAAAGCCATCTCAATGTCCCCAACTCCCAACTGGAAATGGCATATCAAAAGCGTAGCCAAAAGGCTTGAGAAAAGAATTCCAGGCATTTGTCTTCTTCACGCCAGAATGGAGAGGGACAGGTATGTTGGGAGTTGGGAGGCATCAAGTTGGTCGCTAATTTAGTAAAACTAAAGCGGAATGCCGGGACAAGCTCCAGTTGAAAAATGCAGAACCAACCAGGCAAGACCAACTCTAGCACTCATTTCTGTGCTCTATTAGCGGAAGGGGAAAGGGGAACCACCCAGCTCAATTATATGTATTTGCACAATTCACAATTAACGTATCAAAATCTGTGAGCTAAACTAAATCTAATTACGAAACTCTATGGTCTAGAAGCAGGCAAGACAATTTGAGGAAAATACAAAGACTAAAGCGAATTCTGATTGCTCTTTACTGAATATTTTCTTGGCAAGTTAATAAACGGTGTTAAAATTCATTTTTTCTTTATTTCTTTAGTTATTAACCGTTGCAGGATAAGAATCATGTTGTTAACTACTTTTAATATTCAAACCCAAAAGAAAGAGTAAATATATGAATGCCTGGCTAAGCTTAAGACTTGGGCCTACATTACATTCAGATCCCCCAAGGGGCGGCCAGTGGCGGCAGTTTTCTGTGCTACTTCCGACAGCCACGGAGACCTGCAGCTCTGACTTGGATCTGGAATCGCAGTTGGACTTTGGCTAAATGCTCCGATGGCGTTGGCTGCCATTTGTCAGGCAGCAGACCGCAAAATAGTTGCACTCACTTCTTTCTTGGTGCTGTGGCCGTATTTATTTTTTGTATTTTTTTCCCGCTTGACGCGATAATAAGAGCGATGAGGGGAGTTAAGGAACCACAGGCCCAGAGACCAAACCCGAGACACCCCAGACCAGACCCCATACTATAGTATAGTGTGAGAACTACTGCTGCTTCCCTGGCCCAACGTTTTTTACCCGTTTTTCGCTAGTTTTCGCGTGGAAAATAAATACCAATCTACATAAAAGTGGAAACCAAATAAGAAAAACACAGCCGGCATAGTCGACAGTTCGTTTGCTGGCCATTTGGAGTGAAGGAAAAATAGAAAAAGAAAAACCTGCTCCTGTCTGCCTTCTATTGAGAGCGGCCAACAACTCGATGGCAGAAGAACCAGGAGGTTGTCGGTCCGAGCGGGGCCAAAAGCCAAAAGAAGTGGACAAAAAGCGGTGGAAACGAAGCTAAAAAAAAAAACGCAGAGGGCTAGAGATGGTATCGTATGGCGACCTGGGAAGTTATGATATAATCGGTGTAGATCACTTTATATGAACTACCATTCAACATACTAATACATCGTAATGTACAGTGCAATGCATAGATCTGGAACTCATCTTTATCCAAAGACCGATTCCTTAACCCCATCGTGACTCACGATCACATCCCCAGTGGACCATCGCCTGCAATGGGGCAACTGGGCAGCTGGACTGGGAGGTTTTGCGGTTACAATTTGGAGCAGAGGCCGGGCCCCTCAGTCTAGTTTTGATGAAATTGCTTGAAATAATAGGGTGAAAATGCTTTGGTTTGCTGCGCTGCCTTTGCTGCTTTCTGTGCTTCGCCTTTTAACTCTTTCGCGCTTTTGCTGTGAAAGACCGAAAAGGCGTTAGCTGAGCTGAGCCAACAAACCCCTCTTCTTCCTTTACCTTCCGACAAACCCAAAAATGTTTGGCACAAAAGTCTGAGTTTCAGCACGCACAGTGGAGTTTCATTTCGTTTGGTTTTCCTTTGCTGTTTTATAAAAAACAAAACAAAACCAAACAAAATACAATAAAAAAAATGTGGGTGAACAAAACCGAGTGAAAGATTTGTGGTGCAGTGGGTTCCACGAGCACACAAACTCCTTTTCACTCTGTGTGTGAAAATTGGGTCTGGTGTTTGGGAGTTTGACTTGACAAAGCTGAGATTTCGTTGTGGCTGCCACATGATTCCGCACTCCAACATTCATATTTTGCTATGTGCGGAATCCAATTAGCGTTTCGCTGTGTGAGAAATGGTGCAGATCAGAAAGATAGCTGGTTATCACATTCCAAGCTAAGAGAAATCACTTTGAATGTGGCTTGAAAGTCACGGAGAAAAAATGGTGTGTAGATTAATATTTATTGATTTGGAATATGTAAAATTCGTAATAAACTACTACGCCTAAGTAGATAAGCAACTTTGTAAATGACCAAAGAGAGTATTTATTCAGGATCTTTTAGGCATAAGTGGTTATATTTTTTAGTATATTTTAAAGTATATTTTAGAGTATTTATTTTTTATTTTTCATTTTTCATGCATTAAGCGACTTAAGTAAATTAAATAGATAACCTGTTTTAGAAATATTTTATTAATTTACTCTTTTTTCCGTTCTCATAAATCTATCTATATATGCTGAAAAAATTCTAATATAAATTCTATATAAATAAACCGAAACCCCGCTCACTGCCTTAATTGAGTCGGCTGTCCACACTGAATACTCGTATAACAAAGGGATAGAAGCTCAAGAATATAGCGAATAATAATGAATAATCCGCAAAAAACCAAAATCCCCTGCTCACCGGCAGCCCTTCCAAATCAATTACTTTAATCAATTTTTAACACGTTTGCGCTTCTTCGCAGGCTACCACCTCAAGAGGGATTTTTTGTTCGGTTTTTGCTAAAATTTTAATTATAAAGATTAAATAACGAAAGCACAGAATAGAATGGATGGTGGAAGAAAAAAACTGAACAAACTAACCTGCCATAACAAACTTAAAATAATATTAAAGAATTTTTATTGAAATAATAGCAGGCAATGCAGTTGGTTGGGTGGGGAGGAGAGGTTAGCCAGTCGCGGTTCGTCAGTGTCAGGCGAGCACAAACTTCAAAGGCGGGGAATATATTCCATGGAACTGGGAGAGGAAGTTTCAGATATAGATGGCGGTGGAGGAGACGGTGGGGGCCCAACTGATTGGGGGCGACGACAGGCTGCCGACGTCCGAGGTTTTCTTCAGTCTGCCGTTTCGCCGCTTTTTCTAATTGAAATGTTCCGCACCATATTTCTCTACGCTTTACCACCTGCTGCTCTGCTCAGCGAACGGATGGATGGAACGGATCCCCTTGGCTCCCTTTGCTAAATAGTTCACTTCGGTTCTCAATCGGAGTCTCCCAGAGACTACTCGCAAATTGCAGGCAAACCGCTAAAAAAAAAAATGCAGAAAAAAAAAGAAAAACTAGAAAGAAACAATGCACTGACCAGCGAGCATCCAACCATCCGTGGGCCATCGTTCTGCTTCCTTCATTATCAACGCCAAGTTGAGCCCGTGATGATAAAGGCAGTTGAGGGACTCAGCCCGATTATTTTTCAGCACTTTGGCCATTTTCGTTTAGACTGTGATACTTGGCCATACACTTTGATAGGTTCATTGGGTGCGTTCAGTTTAGTTAATATTAAGTTAATATTTCATGAAGCCAACACAGGTTCTGTTGCTTAGAAGATTTGCCATGAATTAAGCTAAAATAAGTAAAGGGCTTATGCACTTTGGTGGATCCTTTTGACCATGTTTCCTATAGAGGACTAAAACCATTTCTTACTTAGGGTATTTCCAAGTCTAAGTTGCACTTTTAGCTCCAGTTTTCGCTCACTTTTTTATGTTTGCTGGTCTTTAGACTGCTCGTTCAACCATCCGTCTGCAGTTTTCTAGGAAATAATTCTCTGCTCGTTTTTTTTAGCAGCAGTTTTTTTTAGTATCCACCAGTGACTGTCTCGTCTCGTCTAGTTGCGTCTTCATAGTCTGGGCAGATGGTGGAGTCAGTCGGTTGGCTAGGGTCGGAGTGGAGTTCTGGGAGCTGCCTGTCAGGCGGAGTGTCACACCTGTCACTTCTGTGGCTGATCACAACAACCGCCGACGAGCGTCGACGACGACCTCGCCCCATTATCTCGAACGGAGGTGTGGAAGGGGGTGTCCCTGCAACAAGGTGTGAACGTCAAATAATCACCTTTGCACACGGCATGTCGACCAGTGTTGAGTCTGAATGTGGATTCTTCAACCTTCGCTGTGGTATTTGTTTTTCGTAAGAAAATTTCGCGCATTTTTTCGGTCTCGTTTTTTCCAGGGAAATGTGTGAAATTTCAATGGAAAGACGCAGCTCCTTTGGTCTGTGGTTCCGTCACCAAACCGCTCCACCCTCCACATTATCATCCCATGTTTGCATAATTATTTTATTGCAGGCAGACGACGCAGAGGCCAAAAGCCTTATGAATATTAAAACTGGAACAGGGCGTGGGCGAGACTTTGTCGTCATCATTGTTGCAACTGTTTCATCCCAGTCCGTCGGTGAGGCAAGTACCCGAAAGCGTTCCCCCATCATCATCATCTTGGCTGATCCCAAAAAGTCTAGACAATTTTCAACCGAGAAACTTTTGTTACCGCTTTCAGTTCGTTGGCAAAAGGAGTTCCAACATTACTTTAGGCATTTCTTCAATTAGCGTTTTTATTATTTTTAATTAACAATTTTGTAACTTAATCCTTGCAGTTGAGTGTAGTGCTCCGAAGTAGTGCCCGAAATGCTCCTCTGTAGCTTACTTTCCAGTGGCATAATCGAATCAGCGACGCTTGAGCAAAGTTTGTCTAAGGACAAAAAGTTTTCCAGCTCCACCGCCAACAGACATGTGCATAATTATGCTGGGACAGACGGGATGGGACGTTTAGGGTGGCCCAGACAAAAGGGTGGACAACTAATTGAGCGATGCTTGTTGTTCCAAAAGAAAATGTTTTCCAACTTACAGTAGACAACTGGCAGACAGTGCCATCGGCCGAGGAAGTAGTTGGGAGTGGCCAGGGCCAGGGTTAAATGTTGAGAATTAAGTTTGACAGACTGGAAAAATGGCAATTAGGTTGAAGATATGATTATCATACAGAAAGACAGTTAATAAAGGGTAGTGCCAGTGGGATTAAGGGACCAATTTCTAAGAAGATGATTGCAAAGGGAGAGGCCTTACGAGGAAATTCCTATTTAAAAGGAAAAGTTTCCACATACGAGATAAACTTTGGTAAAGTCATTAAAAGGCTTTATAAATTATATATGCTAGGAAAATGCATTTAACCTATCTTACAAGGGCTAATCTTTAAGGATACCAACTAAAGTTTCCATGGCTTAAATAATTTGAATCAAATGAAACTTAATAACAAAGATACAAAGTTATATGATCCTTGATGATCCTTTTCCAACATTGAGACGTTCATTTCTTCTTCCTATTTGAGAAAACCTCAACGCTGCTGCTAGATTGTCCTGAAATCCTTGTGAGTACCGTGCCACATTGCAAACACACGCTGTTAAGATCATCGGCGCAATCATCACAATATGGCAAGTCACAATTGTTGCACATGGTGAAGGTTGGATCCTCATACTTCCGGCAAACCAAGCAAACCCTCTTAGCGAACTTAAAGACTCGAAGCCAACTAAATATCGCGGGGCATGAGAAGCGCAGCCACAGGAAAACATTCACTTTCTGCTGGATGCGATGTGAAGCCAAGTTATCCTCAGCATCTCGAACTAAATTCCTAAGTGCATTGAGGCGATTCCGCATGATGCGGTTGTAGAGGAAAAGGATTCGTTGCTTTTCGCGTTTGTAGTAGGAAAAGCTGCAGATCACTCGTCTCATTCGCAGGAAGGTAGTACTCTGATAGATCAGCAATATAATCACCAGATATAGCAATAAAAGTTGATAGTAGAACGTTTTTGGCAGTACTTGGGGATTTGGTAAGCACTCTTCGTTGGTCAGCGAGGTGGAGACCCTCTCGTGGATGTTGAAGTTATGCATGGTGGTGCGCAGTAGTCGCGCCATTTGACCCACGCCACTGATCTGTTGGGGTTATAAACTATATGTTAAATATTCCACAAAATAAACTTAGCATTCCTTACATTAAATCGCACTTCATGCTCACCCTCCTGGTGGTAGGTAATCATTGATCGCTGGCGGATAATGAGCAGCAATTCAACAACCAAATGATCAATAAGAATAAATAAGCCCGCTGTAACAATTTCCAGCAAAAACTGCAACAAACTGAAAAAGACAGTGGTGGACTCCTCTTGAGTACGACTGAAGATGTGATCCAGGTCAATGTACAAGGATTTCTCATAGGTGTGCAGAGGTAAGATAACATCATCACGATTATTCTTGCGCCGCCTGTCCACGTGCTTAAAATATTCTGTAATATAAAAGTTATCGAATTCCACATCGTTCAGATAATAATAGTAATAGTGTATAGAAACAAAAACCAATCGCAGCATAAACAAACTTAAAATCTTTTGCAGGACTCCCATTACTTTGTTAAATTTACGCTTTCGTCGGTCAAAGTCATCCGTAAAGGCCTTTGCGGTTATTTCCGCTGACTTTAGTTTGCTTTTGACCAGTTCCTTATCTCTGATTTCATAGTTGACCTCTATTTGTGAGCTGTTATCGAAGAGCTCCTTCTCAGCTTTTAGTAACTCCACATAGGTCTCGCCGAAGTTACGTGGTATCACCTCTGATGGGTCACATATCTTGTCCGGATTGCCAAAGAGGTCCAGTTCGCAAATGATATCCACGCGGTAGGGCCAGCAGATGGCCTTGCCTATCAAAGAGGGAAAATTGGTGGTGCACTTCCGGTAACCCTTTCGAAATATTTCCAAGCACACCCTATGGCCGCTACTCAGTTGATGCTTGCAGCGGTTTCTCATATTCCGCTGAAAACGCTCCTGAACCTCAGCGGCAGTTGGAAGCTCCTTACCGTCTATACCAGGTTTACTGATGTTCACCTTCTTAGATTCTCTTGCCCATCTTGCATAGGAGGGTTTAGACTTCTTATCACCAAATTTCTCATCTTCGATATCGGAATTCTCTACGGCGTACTTAAGATCCCCAAGAACTCCTTGCAACTCCGAAAAGGTCTGTCGTATCTCCTCAACATCTCCTCGCATGTGCCTCAGTGTGTTGGTAAACGGTTTGGCCATCAAATCAAATCGTGTTTTGGAAAGATTATACGTTAATACCGTAGTGCAGACAAACACTCTGGCCACCTCTTCTGCATTATCAACTAGATTTGCAATAGGTCCTGATATTATAAAGGCAAAGGCCACAGCTCGCAGATAGGTCCTTCCAGATTTGCCAACCAAAGCTACAAATATCAGCATTATTATAGTCCGAACAGATCGGATCAACATAAAGGCCGTTCCGGTCAGCAGGACAAAGATAGTAAGGGCTGAGACTTCAGTGCGTCCATGGGAGAACAGTCGGCCCAAGCTGAAGTTCAATGCCACCAGCTTCCAGAGGAGGTAACCCAGAGCTAGGCCCAAAACGAAGCTGATCAGGCTGCGGAGACATCGGTTGCGCACACTATTCTCGGTGGTTGGATTATATAAATAGCAATAGATGGGCAGAAATGGTTTTGCCAGAAATGAAAACATGTCAAGGCTTAGACTTATATTTTGTCGAGAATGAAAAGTTCTACCTGACATCCTTGACTTAGCCTTCTGATGGTGTTAGCTTCAATATTGTTTTTAGTTAGTCTTTAAGCTGAAATTAACTAGTCTTGCTACAGCCTTTTATTGTCTATTTAACACATGTTAAACTATAATATTTAAATAAACAAATAATAGGTAACCACTAAGCGGTCACTACTAGCGTGGTAATTGCCTAACATTAATAGACTCTTGACTCCCTCTGTGACTTTCAATTTTCTAGCCATATAAGTGATACCCCGTTTAAAAGAGTGCACAAAGTCCAGGCAGCAGGGAATGAGCCTGGGAGTTGGTCAGGACCCCCCAGACAATCAGCAGTTACCTGGGACTTGTCTAGACCACTTTTGCGCTGACCAAGGGAATGCAAGAACATTCAGTTTATCGGTTCCCTCTCTCTCTCTCTCAACTCCAACGGGTAATCCAATTATAATAGAGCTGCTCTGAGGACTGCACCTGCCGTCTCACTTGGGGGGATTCTTCTAAAATATAAAAATTGATTACATGCGTGTCTGTACGTCAGGCGTTCTCCTCCTTCTGTCCACTCACTCACTGCCTTTTGGGATACGTTCCCCATCCTGGTGGCGATGCCAAAACTTGTTTGTTTTTGGTTCGCGCCGGCGAGCGTTTAAAAATTTATGAACTGCAGTCAACCGACAAAAGATGGATGGGATTGAATGCAGTTTCCGAAGAGGAGCAGTAGTAGGGAGACACCACCTCTGGCTCACTCCGAAATTGGTGCAGTTGCTCAATGTCGTCGCGCTGTGACGGTGTCACTCGCTGCATATTAAACAGTTTTTAAGATTCAGTCTTTTCAGGTCCCAGAGGCCGCACTTCATCAGGTTCAGGTTTTTGGGTTCGAAATGTGCTAAAAAATTGATTGATCCTGCAGGAAGCGAAGGGGCGGCGTTCGGTCGAATGGGGCTATTCCACTTTGACGACATCATCCGTAGACGTAGACAACGACGAGACGGGGCGTGGTTCTGGATGCTCAGGATGCTCGACGCACGCATTAAAACAATTTAAAATTCCCAAAGACCGAAACACTAGACGACCCTACAGTGGGTGGCATCGCCCAGGAAAGTGGCAAAATAAGTGGTCGGAGAAGTGGTGGCCTTGATTGCATCCCAAGTAAAATGTTCCATTTGGAATGCTCGATTTTTGGGAGTAATGGGGGTGGTTAAGAGGAGCCATTACTGTGGGTGATGTTGGGATAAAAACTGAAAATATAAAAAAAAACATTTTTGCGGTTGTTAAAGATTGTTTTAAGTTTATGATTTTGTATACCTAAAATCCTTTATAAAATATATATATAATGCTACGAAAACCTTCTAGTAATTATCTTTACCACACCCACTGTACGCAATTACCATGGGCGGTCGAGACTGCGTGCAGGGCAACCTAGAGGACCTGCTCTTGTAAAGCTTTAAATGCATTAAATTGTCAAAGCGATGGCTATGCTAAAAGTTTGCTGGCCATAAAATTGCATGCCACAGACAAAAAAGGAGTCGCCCCATCATTCGACGGAGGCGGAATCGGCTGTCGTCCAGATACCCCCTCTCAGCTTCTGTTCCCGTTCCCGAATCCTGGACACCCAATCCAGAACCGAAGCTGGTCAGTCAGTCAAGTCTAAAACCAAATGAATGATGAATTGCCTGTCACTTGCAATTTTTGCAGACAGACGAAAACACAGAGTGAACCGATCCCAGTGTTGGTTGAATGTTTCTTCTTCTCGCTGGCTTGTTTAAATTTTTCATGTTTTTCTAAGCCCTCCCCCCATCTTCGTGCTAAGTTTTGGACCTGGTCCAGACACGGCTACCAAAACGTTGACATGCTGACTGCTTTCATGGAATTTGCGTTTTAAAAAGGCGGCAACGTTGACATCCTTGTCATTGTCTCTTGTCGGCCACTTTTGGTCGGAAATGTTTTGGTTTTGGCTCTTTCAAAAATTCACAAATTTAATTGGGTGACCATCGGTGTAGACAGCCAAAAAGCCAGAAAATTATGAAATATTTTTGCCAGAAATATCAGGCAGGTAAAAGAATTTCGAGTTTTATAAAAATATTTTCAAAGAAATGCCGGTATTTTAAAGATAAATATGGGATGGGTTTGAGAATAAGTTAAAAACTTAAAAAAGCAAAAACAGCTGTCTTATAGTTTTGGTTTGCCCTCCCCTTGTACACCATTAAAGCCTTCATTCTAAATCCCCTTTCTATCTGGCATAATAACCATAAATCCATTGGTCTATGCAAAATTAGTCCATTTGTCAGCCAGAAATTGCATTCATCATAATGATAGGGGAACGAGCCCCAGCATCGACATTATGTTCATGTCCATATCGTAATAGCCGGAGATCCACTAAAAATTGATTGTTTGACAATTTATACGTGCAGTGGGGAGTTGATTGGGCGGGGAATATCTGTGACCGGACATCATTAGAAATGCAAATAAATACGTCCGAAATGCGTGGAAAATTGTGAAACATTTTAAACTACGCCGGGGCAGATGAATTTATTGTGCCAATCTGGGTTTTTCCTCTCCCTGCTGTCTGAAATCCATCAGGCACCATCAAGTGAACTGCCACCAGCCCCGCCCCTCCTGCGGCATGCGTAAATTATGACAATCAAGGGCTGGCTGGGAAATGAGTGAAAGCTAGCGATAAGGCCCTTCCTTTCCTAGCCTACCCTGCCAAAAAAAAAAAATTGACCAAAAATATGTGTCTGCATAAATTTTCCAACTCAGAAATGAGAACTCAATGTGGATGATGCCTAAAACAAAAAATACCAAAAATTAAATTAGTTAATTAATGCAACCAAACAAAAATAAGAGTATGCTGAAGGGGGAGAATCGGGGTCAGCCATCAATCATGGGAGCAAGGGTCGCCTCATGCGGAGTCAAATATTTCTTCTCGTTTTTTTTTTGGTCTACCGAACCCGTAGATTGCTTTCGCTTTCACTCCAAAAACTCAAACTCTATCCCAACCAGAATCCCCAATAGCGATTCCTCTTGACATTTCCAATTGCCCAGGGAAGAAATATTCACAAATTAGTTGCCCACATGTGTCAGGTGAAGGTGATTAAGCGTTTGGTCCAAACCAAAAATTATCCATAAGAGCTCCGGCCAAAGCAAAAAAAAAAAATACAACCATAATGAAAGCCAAAGCCAAATAAATTATGCAAAGGGGCAGAGTTAAAACCCGAATGTATCAGATTTCGCGCTTTGCGGTTATATCTCAAATTTGTGTTCAGTCTTTTTCTGTGTTTAAACACGCCCTAAGCCTAAAGGTAAACATCGGATTTCCATTAGCCAACAAGGGTTAGCTTGACCGAATAAAAACGAAAATTGGCCAAAGTGATCCGGAGTTTGGCAAGCCGACAAATTTGAAATACTCTTTGGTTTGGTAAATAGATTTTGATTGTATGTATTGTTGTATTATATGAAAATAATAGTTATAATAACAAAATTAAATACACTTAGTTCGTTTAGTTATACGCGCGGTGATCGCTTGCGTCGGCGTTTTTACTCCTTGCCTCTTCCTTGTTCTTCTTTCAAGTCCTCGAACAAAACTACTCATTTTTCCGTACTGGTATTCTGCTTGACCACTCATCTGGGCACACCTAAGCTCTAGGGATGCCATATGTCAAATTTTTTAAACTTTTTTATTCTTTTGAGAAAAGTACAAATATTTTCTGACCAAAGTTCAGAACTCTAATTCATCGATTAACCCTTTAATATACCCCATTTTTAAAGAGAATCTATTTTAAAGTAATCCCATTTTTGATGGACATTCTTTAAATCGTTTCTGCCATCCCCAGCGGCCATTTAAACCCTTTGGGGCTTTGCATTAATTTTTCACAGCCTGCTCTTCTTCTTTTTTTTTTTGCAGGTGTTTTCTGGCTTTGGTCATGTGAAAATTTGCATAAAACAAAGACAAACTTTGTTCTGCATTTTTAATTAATTAATTAAAGGCAAGTCGACGGGCCAATAACGAGGCTATCAACAGCGAACGTCAACGTCCTAATCAACGTCATTATTATATGAGGGAGCCCCTCATGCAAATATTTGTCTCTCCTCAACCTTCGTAAGTTCTTGGCCAACACCACCAACTCCTCAGCGTGTTTGCATATACATGAACCTAATTTTAATTAATATTTTATTATCTTAATTATGCATCGCACCTTGCCGCGTATTCTCCACTTCCTCGGCTCTCAGCCCTGAGCTGCGCCCTTTTTGGCTGAGTTCTGCATTTAGTTTTCGACCTTTTGCCTAACAAATTATGGCCATAAATAAAGTAAACGAGTTAAGAGTGGTTTTGCGTGTTCTCGAGAATGCCCATTCGCACAGACTACTTACTACCTTTACAGTGCCCCTCTCAGCAGCCCTCCATCCTGCCTTTTTGTTGTTGTTGTTTTCCCGTCGTCTGGCTTTTTGTCTAGCCGCGGTCTGGCGCTTGGCTAATGTCATTTTCATATTGCCGCGGCCTGTGACCAAAAAACTGAAATAAAAAGGGTTAACTTGTTTTGAAAAAATTGTGGCGAGTGCAGTCAGCGTTAATTTTGGGCTGATTTATTAGTTTTATTAGCTGGCATAATTGGCTTAACGGGTTAAAGGGGAAAGAACAGGTGCGGGTGGGCATAGAGATCAATTAGATGATAGATAAGATAATGCTCATTAGGAAATGGCTATAAAGGGTTGGTAGTAACAATTAGATGATGGTTAAAATGTTAAAGTGGAGTTTTAAATGAAGAAACTTTACTTCTTAACTTACTCTAAAGTAAGGCTTGGCAACCTTTAAATCTAATAATTTTTAATTTTTACAGAGATATTTTTGTTAGGGTGAGGTTCGTTACCCTTTTGTTTGTCAATTCATTGCAAAAGTGATACATTAGACTAACCACAAAGGCTATGGATACTCAATGCAAAAACCTTGCCTTAGCACACCTTTCTACTAAACAATAAGCCGCAAAACAGTCCATATCATGGCTATAAAAATGACAACAAATGTTGGCTTACAAAACCTAGTGTGCTTAAAGATTCCCCTGTAATTACACGAATGTCTCACACTGTGTCCCGCATTTCACCAAGCCCCAGCTTTCCATTCATCAAAATCCAGCTACCATTGAACACACACCTCATCGAAGACCAGAATACTCGAGTTTCAATAACAAACCGATGGAGTTCAGATTTCATAATTCATCTGCGTAGAGAGAAGACTCTCACTTTTCTTTCGCTTTTTGCCGCCTGCTTTTCTCACACACATTAGCATTGGAAAACCATTAAGGTGGCGAGGGCGTGGCAGAGATATGTAGCTTTGGGCCACAAATATGGTTTTGCCCACAAACGAAAGTTTGTAATTTATTACAAATTAAAATAAATCAAATATCGAGAAATGGATGGGCGCATGAGTTCGTTCGTTTGGGAGGAGGAAACCGATAAATCTGTGGCAGAGCAGGTGATTCAGCGCCAATGTCTCTATAAGTTACAGAAAAACAACTATAGATAAGCTAGTCATTTGCATTTTGAGTGGCATCATAAAAATGATAAACATTAATTTCTTTATTTTCGAATCCGGTGTGAGAGAGAGAGGAAATGATTTGTCAAATGGCTGCGGCTCAGGAAGGGAAAACAAACCACAAAAATTGTAATTTCAAATGTAAATAAGACCAACGGAAAATACACTAATAACAGATAGCAGTGGGTAAAGTAACTTAAACAGGTATTTATATGACCGCTAATAGAATTTACTAAGACCAAAATGTTTTCCCTTCTAAGATATCATAACCGGAAAATTCCCTCAAAGACAAGATCTTTTAACCTCTCAGCAGCAGTCGCAATAAAAAAGATTGAAATTCAATATCTGGGGATACCAGAATGGAGCAGCTGGAAGTGCTAGAGCGCCATCCTCGATAGACTTGTTTACATTTTTATACCTTAAACAATAGTTTTCCACCCAAAACAAAAGAACAAAGAACGGTACCGAGGCGTAAAAATCTCAGTGAGAATAAAATTTTCAACACTTTAAAAGCGTTTTGAAACCATAAATTCCAAACTGCCCGTCGAGAGCAAAGTGATTCCGTCTGTATACATTTTATATGCAAAGATATAGATGAAGATCGGGTGGAAATGTCAAATGTATCTTGCTGTTACAGTGTTCCATCGTTTATCAAAACCATTTTATAACTATCGCGGCAAGGCAACGAACTTTCGGGGCATAAATCAACTCGATACTGGCTACAACTTTGTTTTGTTTATGCTTTTTGCCCAGTTTGTGTTTTATTTTTTGTTTGTTTGTTATGAAAGTGCGGTTCGTCATGCTGTGACCGTTCTGAAATTGACTGACGGAACGGAGACCCCACGTTGGGAAATACAAAAAGTAAAAAAAAAAAAAACCAACAAAAAATTTAAGAACAGAGGCGGAGGACGTCTGCCTGCGAAATCCAACAGAACCGCAGACTAATTAAATTAATTGAGGTGATTTTTGTCACTGACCGGCCGAGATACGGCCGATATGCCGTTACCCATTTGTAAAGTGTTTCCCGATTTTGTGAGGCTTAAGGTTGGTAAAAAATATGGTTCGCATATTTTTTAAAGCGATTTTGCCGCTCATATCGTAAAATTCTGAACTGAACGCATGTAATCCATCGATATTAATGACTGGCCATATTTTTTTACTCCCCCACTACATTCTTATTGTTGTTGTTTCGGGTTGATTGAATGGTTATTCATGTGCTTTTTTACCCAGAACAGCGGCTTTGTTGTGTCCAAAAGTTGGAAAGGTTGGGGAGATATGATGCACCTTTGTATCCTTTATGTGGCCAGCAACCTCCAATCGGAATGATTGCACATTGTGAATTGCGGCCCTTTTTATGATCCAACCTGTAAAATATTAAATGAGTGCAATCAGAATTTGCCGTTAAACATTGGACATAACTGTTGTGAGGTAGAAAAAACCTAAGGGATTTATCTGGAAGTGCCCTTAATTGTATACCTAAAACTGGATTGATTCTTGCAAATAAATATAATTTCTGTTGTTTTTTTTTTCTGTAAAAGTATGATTTTTCAGACTATTTCTATGGTATATAATTATATACCTAAAAATGATAAAAGCTTTATTTAATACTAAGCTAGTCATATAAATATCCTTATAAATAGAGTAAATATTATATTTTAGCAAGCGGTCACACTAATATGCATAACAAATAGCCACACTGACTTATACATACATATATTCAAACTTACTTGTAAGCACAATGTTATTTGTCTCCCTTACTTTCGCATAAAGATCATGCTAACGAACACTATGTGTATCCCGTTCGCGCGATCACCAAATGTCACCAATACATGTACAAATAAGGCTAGGATAGAATAAGATAAAGGAATAAAGAGCATTCCATTTTTGAACACAGAAGTAAACAGACAGAAAGAGAAGTAAGGGAAAAAATACGTTCATTATATTAGTTTAAAGTTAAAGTTATTATTCCCCATCAAGGTATTCAAAATTCGCATATAACCAAATTATTTCGACTGTTTTCAGTTTTTGAATAATATATCCTGCTGTGTGTTGTGTAAACAATAGAAAATCTCAATTTTCAACACAACGCACAGATATGGACATTACGCGCCTGTCTCGGTGTTTGTCGCCATTTTGTGTAAACGCGAACTAAATATTTAACAAGCTATTAAACCAACGTCAACAGCATCGAAATGAATAAATAATGCGCCTGAATCGCTGGCAATTGCCGGTGACCATGAATGCCATGAATGACCATGTGACCATGTGGACAATACGCTGGGAACACATTTTGCAGATCCAGCAGTAAAACTAAGGTGGCTTAGAGCTGGTAAATTGTTGATTTGATTTTGTTTTGGGATGGATTCGATAGCTAATAGTCACTTAATAACTTTATTTCTTTTAGGACTTAAAAAAAATATTTCTAACGAAGATTTTTCATTGGAAAAAATAGTATTTAGTATTCAAACTTCGCTTAATCTAATAACGATAGTGCCATCGATTGTCTACCAATTTTATTTTCCTTTTCACCACCATGGATTTTCCATTCAGATACCGTTAGCTTTTTTTTTTTTGAATTTCACCGGTTGCCTGGGCAGGATGATAATGACAGCGAACACGAGCAGAAGGAGTTGGCTTAGGAGCCATGAACATGACCATTTGAGGTTGGGGCGATTGTCAATGGTTGTTGTCAATTACGTTAACAAAACACGGTCGCCGGGCGCCCCTGTATGAATGGATGTTTGGAGAGCTGGGAAAACCAAAACTGGAGCAGGAGTTTCTACTTGGTCTCCCCAAAAAGGTCCAAAAATTTGTACGTCACCACCAGAAAGAGAGAGAGAGAAAGAGAAAACAGCGGGCGACGGACCGGAACCGAAAGTCCAGTCCAGAGCTCAAAGACATGGCCAAAACCAAATGTAAAGCAGCCGCCAAAACAAAGGGAAGCCCTGGCCAAAATGGAGTTGCAGTCCATGTGCGCTCATGTCAGGCGTTTAATTGGCATTGCCATTTGGTATGTGTTATTAACGATTTGTGGCGTGCAAAGGCATTTGTCAATGTGTCAGAAAAATGAACTTCGCAGAAGGGAATTTTCAGATGTGGGAGCAAAGCAAACTTGGCTTACATACATGTCATTAATAACTGTTAAGAGCTGGAAAAATATGTTTACTAAATAATCATAAGAGTATGTTAAAACAAGATTAATGCTTTTAATGATTAATAATTAACTTAAACAGTATCAATAATCAGCTTAAAACATAACAAGAATCTTTAAAATTGGCATTTGCCAGGTTAGGTTTTTCTTAACACCTTTTTTTTCTTTTTAATGTCGTATTTCAAAAATTATATTCCTTATAAGATAAATTAGATTTAACAAATTTTTACCTCTATATTTTTTCCAAGTGCTTGATGCCGCCTTTAACCCACAGAATCATTGGGTGGCTGAGTTTTCGGCGGCGTCAGCATAAAGTGAACTCGAAAGTGACCTTTTTAATTAAAAGCCAAAGTTGGGGGACTCTTGCAACAGTTCGTGCCGCATTCGCATGCTCGAAATTGCAACAGCGAAAATTACATGGACCCCCGGTCCAAAGGATTAAAGGGGGAGGTGTTGGGCGACCAAAAGGGAATTGTTATCTAATGTCTGGAGGCGAAGGGTCAAAAACTGTGCAACAGTCACGCAGAGCAGTCGTTCGACTGGCGAGAGGGAAAAGTGTTAATAAATTTTTCGACCAAAAAGACTGGGGCAGCCATTGGCTGGCTGGCTGGCTGTGTTGGCCAAATTAAGTCAACTTCAACGTGGCAGCGGCTCCTCAACGTGGCCCCCTCGATTCGCAAATAAATTTGTTTAATTCCCACTCGACGTGAAACAAGGAACCGGGAAACTGGTAAATGGGAACTGCGGACTGGGAACTGGAAACTGGAAACAAGGCAGCGCGAAATATTTTATAATACCAGGCGTCCGACGGAGGCGTGAATTCGTAGCACTCACACCGGGTAGCCAACTAACTTGGCCAGAATGAGAGCGGCACCCCCCGAGGGAAATCGTGTCCGGGATAGCTCAGGCTGACTAATTAGACGCGTCATTGTTGCCGATTGGCTTTTGCATTTTCGGACTTTTCCAATTGCCCTGGCTAATGAGTGGCCACAATCAGCGGGATGGTAGCACAGGGGGCGAAGCAACCCCAGTGGCAACTAATTGGCATTTGAGCAGGCCTGCAGGTAAGTGCACTTTTAAGGCTGCTCGCAGATTAGCCAACGGCTGACGTTTTGCACTCTGTTTATGCAAATTGCAAGTAGTTGTGGTGGTGCCTTCCATGGGAAGCCGTCTCAACAGGGGACACTTGAAGGCAGAGTCAGCTCCCAGGGGAGACTCATTTTGGGAAATAAAAAAAAGGCTATATAAAGCATCTCTTTTCGTGAACTTTCTCAAAGTCTTGGTTATGGTTTTCTTATGCAGTTTTTCTTTCCTAGTTTCAGTCTTTCGATCTCTTAACTATTAATCTAATATACTCGTAGCTTAAGCTCAATTTAAGGTACTTCAGAGGGTGTAAAGGATTGCCTCAAAGACTTATCCTTATTCCTGTTTACCCTTTCATTGTTTCCCTTTCCTTTTCCCAAGTTGACAATCAACTCTTTCGTCGTCATGCCTCTGGTTAATTACGAATCCATTGGGCCGAAATCCTTTTTCATTATGCCAGCCTATAAATAATGTGAGGTTCCGGGACGAGTGTCCATGTGCTCCATGTGCTGCCCATTTGTATTTAACATATCATTCATATAATATCAATTAGTTGCATATGTGTGCCGCCAATCGTTGGATGTCCTGGCCTTGTTGTGTCCTTTGGACCCGCCTGAAAATTATTGGCTGCCGTCCTGGCTGTACGCTGTCCGTTTGGCTTCCTTCTTTCTTTTTTTTGTCAACTTTCTTTTTGTTTTATTTTTTTTTCTTTTTTGATTCCTTTATTTTCGGGGCCGAGTGAATAGCAAACGGAAAACGGATGAAAGCTTCAGTCGATTGGCATGCGTCCGTTTTTGTTGGCCCGTTGATGAGCGGGGAACGGGGTGATCAGGCGGTGGGGCAAGGACACTGACAAGAAGACAAGGCGGATGGGGACATGGGGGGGACAGGGGACCTGGACATGGACATCGACGTGGACATGGGCGATGACAACATCAGTGTCAGCACACAGCAAACGCTCAGCTCTTCCATTTTATTCTCTTCTCTGGCTCATTTTGTGCTGCTCGAACACAAAAAGCTCATTTTATGCCAATTTTTGGGTCCCTCTGAATGAAATTTAACGAGCAACGAGATGTGTGTGTGTGTGTGTGTGTGTGTCAGTGTTTGTGAGCCGGATAAACATTAACGTCTCATTTTTGGCCAAAAGCTTGGACAAAGAGTTATTGGATAAATATTGGAGAAAAAGTCTTACACGGCTTGCTTGGCTAAGAAATCTGCTGAACTTTAAGGAAGTCCGGAAGCTATTTTTATCTTGATTAGCAATATAATTTATGGCCAAAACATTGATAAAAAATAACCCTTCTCATATCTAAAAAATATAAGTTAGCAATACATATCAATTGAATCTTAAATTTGGTCTTCAAACCTAAGCTTCTATGTAAAGACTCTTACTTAATAGGACTGGCTATCTCCCCCCTTCAATCATCAAATCAATGCACTCCCTTCCTGATTATGCACAAGACAATTTCCCCGTGGAAACAACTAGGATGCCATCTAATTATGCATGCCATCAGCGTGCCAGCTGCTTGGCCCGCTCCCGCTTCGAGTTTTTTTTTTTTCGGGGAAGGGGGGATTGTTAGTTTTTTGGCTTAACCTTTTGCCAATTTTAAATTGGCTTGGCTGGGGAGTAGTCTGGGGTTACGGGAAGTCTGAGCCTGGCCAAGTTCAAATATGCACAAACATTTGTTCAAAGGCTAAAGATTTATCTCGCCTGTTGTACGCTAGACACCCTGTGGTGGCCCCGCCTCCAAACTCCTGTCTGCTTCCGTTTCGTGCTCAGGTTTTTCTATGTTTTTTGTGTTTTATTTTGGCGGAGGAGTCACTTTTTTGGGCATTCATACGAGCGCCGAGCGATACAAATCGGTGAATTTCAAGTGCAAAACTTGAATATGCAATTGCAGTTTTGCACGTTCTGCGGTGTAGTCTTTGGTTGTACAGTAGGGACAGCTAAATGATGGACTGATGAGATTTTTGTTAATATTTAATGTCTATCTTATGAGTCTATCTGTTGAGTAAATTGCAACTTTAGGGATTGATAAATCCTAAGTTTTCTTTACAAAAAATCCTAAAATATTTCCGATTTATTTTCTAAGATATTTTCAATGACATTCAGTTCTAAAGCTGCCCCTATTCCACATTGCATTCTCCTTTGCTAGATCAAAAATACTTTTTGGGGATTTAAGTGGCTCCTTTCCCTCGCAGCTGGCAAATTTGCATATTCACGCTGCGGATTGAAATCAGAAACAGTGGGTGCCGAGCCAAAACTCGTTGCAGTGACACCGCGGAGGCCAGGATGGAATGAAAGGAGGAGGGTTCCCGTCCAAGTGGAATCGATGAATCGAGTGGGATCCCCGGATCCACAAATCGTTGAGGAGAAAATGCAAAATGTGCCTGCTGGGCAGATGGAAGAAGCTAAAAGCAAGGGAGAACCCGTCCAATGTGCTGTTTGCCTGGGCCAAAACAAATTCAAAAATGTTTGCTGAATTTCAATTGCTGACAAATTTGGCTCGAATGGCGGGTGGATGAATCAATGAATGAATGGTTGGGTGGGGATGTTGATAATATTATTAGTACCTCACCGGGTGAATGGCAAATTGTCCTTGAGGATATAAATGGAATTTGAAATTATTTTATCAACATTTTTGATTGCTTCCAGCTGAACAATTTGTATCGTGAGGATGCCATTCTGAATGGCCAGAATGGATGGCAGTCATTGAGTCTGTCTGATGATGGTGGTCGCTCATTGGCAGTCCAGGCATTCAGAGCCTTAATAATATGCACAAAAGTTATGAATTTCCACACAACAATAACAACAGCAATGGGATGGTTTTGAGGGGGCAGAGTTCTGGGTCCTAGCAATATGTTTCATGGTCTATGGAAATGATAAATTTCAAAATTGCCTTCTTCTACTTTCCCTACCTCTCGAAATGAGTTTCGAGCTGGCTGCTCCTATGCTAATTATTATTGCATGGATCCCGAGTGGGTGCCAGGATAATGGGAGGGAGCACTTGCGGCCAGGATTTTAATCTAAGCAGATAAGGAAATTGCTTAGAATTCTAAATGGACCAAGGGCCAAATGGAGCAGAAGTTATAGCCAAGGGCTGGATTGCCCTTCGCTCTTCTCTAGAGTCCTTCAGGTTCAGGTGTTAAGCTGCTGATGGATATTTAAATGGGTTGAGTTGGGTTCAATGTTGGGAGCAACGTTGCTGTGTTTATTGAAATAAAGTTGACAATTCGAGAGGAGCTGGCAGAGGGTATTCGAGGCGAAACGCGTGGCCGATGAGCCATTGATTTTGAAGAGGATTTCGGCGGAAATGACTGCTTGAAGCGGCAGGGGAGCTGGAGTAGGAGCTGAAGTCAATGAAGTGGCTCAGATTGTTGAGGTTCTGTTTCGGTTTAGCGCTTTTCAAGTTGCTTGTTGATAAACTTAATGGAGATGGTTGGGCCTTGATAAGTTTGAAATTGAAATGAGTTGTTGAATATTAAATGGGTTGGATAAAAATGCTTATGTCTTAGCTTACAAAGTGCAAAATTTAAGCAAAATTCTTGAAATTCCTACTTTTGATCACTTCATCGCAGGGCTTAAAATGATTGGCATTTTCAATCATTTGTTTTGGCCAACTGCAACATTGCAAGTGCACTCTCTCTTAAGCAAAAGCAACAAGCTAAAAACATTAAAATCCCATAATACTGATCAGATTAGGCACTCAAAAGATTTTTCAATATAAAAATCCCAACTTCACACCCCCAGCAGACTCAACCCCTCGACTCTTGGCCAAGTCAAGTACTCTTGTCTGGAATTAAAATTTAACAAGCAAACACAACAAAATAACCAAACATAATCTTCACAAAATCCCAAACCCATCGAAAGCATCATCACTCAGCCACACACTTCAGTTTTCTGAATGCGGTGTTGTGGTACCCAAAAACTGAGCCAAAAGTCGCTTGAATATGAAGTCTT